ACTTGCACTGTTATAGTAACGGGTCAATATCGGTATCGGACATTTCTCAAAGTTGTAATATCGGTATCGTATCGGAAGTGAAAAAGTGGTATCGGGACATCCCTAACTATATTCATACAGATCCTGTCAACCTCACTGACTGAGAACAATTATATATAATAAACTTTGTCTACAGAACAATATAATTGTTAAATTACATTTTTAATGAGATTCTTTTGGACAACCAAAATGTTTTGTTGACAACCAGGTTTTGTCAACAGGTTGTCCCTGAAAAATATCCTTATGTCTACCCCTGTTACACATCATGAAAACAAGATTAATATTCTTACACAACCAGTTCTTGTTTAGTAAATCAGTCTCAAAACAAGATGAAAGAGACTTTTTGGCTGATATAATGTTTTAAAACTTGTTTAGGTGGACATTACTGCACCACAGCAGAAACATTTGGTTTGTTGTTGATGAATGTGAAGAGGCTGGTTTGGGTCGGTGAATACAAAATACAAAAATATCACATGCTAGTGCTACATCTTTGCCTCTTGGAACTTAAACTCCGGGGCTGAAAAGTTTCCCCACTCCGCCCCCCTGGTTCCGACAACTCACAGCAGGTCGCAGGCCTCCTGCAGGGCGCTGACCGCCTCCACCACCTTCCCCGTCACCAAGTATTTCTTCCCGGCGCCGACCAGCTTGTTGGCCTCCTCCATGTTGGCCACTGTCCGGAGAAAGGAGACAAGATGACCGCTGAGTGGAGCCGAACAGTCCGGTAAAAGGAGCGGGACTCTCCGAGCGTATTAAAGACAAACTTAATGTGGGTTAACTTTGTTTAAAATGAGACTAAAACCGCTCAAACATCAACTACAAACCTTCTGAGACACAAAAACCCGGGAGCAGCTCGGCACGTGAAGCACGGAYAGCGCGCTGGAGTTTCAATTCGACGCGAAGTGCGCATGCGCTTATACACACAAGCGCGGGGAATTTCTTAAAGATACAGTCCCACTCACCGTTGGTAACGAGCTGAAGTTAGTTTCTATGGAAGCGATTGTGTTCCATAATCCTAATTAAAATGGATTAATAGAAATGCTGTTTCATTTTCAACATGTACCTGATTTTTTTGACTCATAAGTAAAATTATAAATACATAATCCAAACTGTATGTTCATTTTCTTCTCCAAGACTGCTCAAAGTGTAAATTAATTAATTAAATAAAAAATGTTAAATAAAACAAACTTTGACATTTAATTTTCAAAATATGTCCTGGTAAAACGTGACCAAAATTC